GTCAAAGGAAATGTCAATAAGGAATCAGATGGGACCATCTACGGCGACCATATGCACTACAACCTACTGCCCGGTGATCTCGTCCGACCACACCCTCTGCTCACCCCTTTACTCGTAAAAATGCACTCGCTTAGGGGTTTTATTAGGGGCACTGGCGACGATTTTCTCTGCTTCTCTCTCCCTTATTGACATTTGTGGCATCCGTATTCGTATCTCACTACCCGGAATATTTGATCGCGGGCTTCGCCTCCAACTGAAACCGTGGTTTTCCGTGATAAACGAAGCTCCGCCCCAAAACTTTTTGGCTTCGTTATTGGTGGAATGCGCATTCAAAGTGTTTAGATTCTCGGTAAACGTGTACACGGCTCATCCTTTGAAAGTTTCTTTGTCTTCTCACCTGTTCAAACTCGAAGAGAACAATCATCACGAAAATGTTGATGAGGAACAGTGTTGCCGTGTACATGAACGTCAAGAAGATGATAAAAGCTAAACGGGCAAGCATAATTTTCGAAAATCGATATTTTGGATGAAATCAATACTTTTATGGCTTTGATCACTAGTTTTTCGTCCGAGGCACATTTTACGATTGTCCTGTGGCTCAGTTATAAATCTGCAGGTGCTGATCGGTCCACTCTCAATTTGAAAATGCAAAGAAATAGGGTCGAGAAGGATCTAAATAAGATCCCTGCTTCTGCTGTTTATCTTGAGCAACGTAGAGTAAAGAAACACTAGTCGTACGAGCGAGAAATTGGAAAGTAGAGGGCCATAACGCATCACCATGCGGTAATTGCGCATGTGGGCGTCCAGACTGACCAATGGGCGGAGACTCCCACGGCATCGCGAGTCCCTAGCGCCTCTACCACGCACTTTCGAGTGGCAGATTGTGGGCTCCTAAAGTTGCATATCTGCCCGCCATCCACACAAAAAGACTCCGATTTTCGAGCAATCGTGAAATGTGCCTTTGCGAAAAGTTTAGGGCTGTATTTGAACATACCTAGTGGGTTGATTGTAAACATGTTGGCAACGACGAATTTCCCCAGCATTCCAGATATTGACGTTGCAAAAGTCGATATTATCGAGTTGTAGCTGAAGTTGTTTGTGTTGAAAGGAAAATTAAGCGATATTTTACGAATGCTAGCACCTCTCCAGACGAGCCCACAAGAGACAGTATAGGGCAGCGTTGAATGCACAAATTATCACCAAGAAAACAGTGGCAAAATCCTTGATCGGAACACTTGCGTAATCCAGTGTGGTTGCTAATATAGAAATACGACGATTGAACCTGAAATAATAGGTGCGCGCTACAGGAATTGGCGCTGTTCGGCTTAGGGAGGGCATTTTGCAATTTCGCTAGTTTCTTCCACTGGCCCCTGTTAACTCGGTGTTCACTTTGTGAACCTGTTAACTTTGTCATAGTAATCACGCATGCTGATGCTATTGTACAGCTTTACAGGGAGCTACAGGTATCCTACCCCCACCCCTCCTTATTGGCGTGCGATTAAGAGATTCCAGGAACCTGTCTGGGGTATATTCCCCGAAGAACGTCAGCAGTGATCGATGGGAAGCAGCAGGATATCCCTCCCCTTTTCCGGCGAGTAGGACCAGAATTCACTCAGGAGTACACATTTCCGAAACTTGCGGGTAGTGAGATTGACTCACCTGGAGATCATTCCGCGAACCCCACCCACCTCGGTTGCCACGCCCCTTGCAAAAGAAACGGATAATGATCCTTGGAGATGAAGGCTCATTTCTTAATGGTGATATGGGCGGAGCTAGGCCTAGCACAGCGCCTTTCCTGTCGATGCACACGCACTCTGGTTTTTAAGAAAGTTTGGGTAAGGGTACGCCGATAGATAGAACATATATGATGCAATGGAATACCTGGCACCGCTCAAACGGAAAATTATTTTGCTCCGTTTCCTGAGCATTTAGGGAGAGCGCAGAACCGGAGAATCGGAAAGTCGGCGAATCGGCGAACAGGTGAAACCGCAAAATCATCGAAAATGAATCGATCTCGTTCACTTCACCGAAGTGCAGAGATGGAGAGAGAACGGATTCATACTGAGCCTTTCCCGCAGACACTTCGATTCTCCGATTCTCGGCGCTGGCTATGAATACAGCTTTTCACGGATTTTGATGCTACAGAGGAGACTATATCTTCTAATCGATAGTCTAAAAGGTTCATAATGATTCTGCAAACAATGATCCTTTTCTCTCGCAAGAGGCGTGGCACTGAGGTGGGCGGGACTTCTAGAACGAAGAGCGAACTATGATTCGTAATAGTGGTCACGTTGACAAAAAAGACGATGTTGAGCTTAACGACTGCTTCTAGAGCCAAAGATAGCTACTTGATTATAAGAAGAACCAAGACGTTCACGCAGTTTTAGGAGGGGGAGGAGGAGAGACCACTGGGCCGCGCCTCTGCATCCCTTCCCCAAGACTTATGCCTGGAGCGTAGGTCACCAGAGTCATCAAGGGGTAGAGATGACATTCTTTACTAAGCCTAATGGTAAGCTTGATTAGAGGAGGAAGGGATCATAGGCGAATATCAGCCCTTGTCCCCCCCCCCCAAACTTTGCGAGCGCCAAGGCTTTTCCATTACCGTAACCTCTGAATATGTTGACCAGTGTCCGTACTAACGACGCTGATGCAACGTACCGTAAAATCTTAATCATCTTGCAGGCCACAAAGAACACGACGCCGCCCACGCAGTACGTGAACACAAGCTCCACATTCCTTTGCATTGCAAGATTGATGTATACGTTGCCGTTAGTTGCAGCGAAACTCGCCAAAGCCTATAAAAAACGCTATGGTCAGGGGCTGAAATGAAAGGCGTAACCCTACAGGAATGACCTCAATGGTTAAAAGTGAAGGCGTGACCCTACACAGTTTTCATTAATCTCAATGTGCAAACGCCTGCAAAGCTATTTTCCTATTGTCCTGCTAAAAAATTCTAAAAAAGGGTGCAGTTGGGCAGCGCAGCAGGCGAAAGCGTTTTGGTATACTCCAAGTACGTAGTAGAGCGGCAGCCAGGATGGATTTCCTACCAAGTGTACCGGGGGTTCAGGATAGCATCATTTGTGGCAAAAGGCTGTCATGGCCCGCTATGGGGCAGCTTACCTTGTCAATATAGACTTGACGAATGAAGTACGCGACCACTGAAGTGATGGCCAGAATACCCACGAGGAAATCCAATAGATCCCAGAAACGTCTGGAAATTTTCTATAGATTCGTAGCGCTTGGAGTGTGTAGTAGAGGGAGACTTACACTATGAACATGTACTTGAAAAGTCGTATGAAATTGCATGATCGTGGACGAGTTTGGTATGCAGTCACTATATTCCTTATGTAAACGAAAGGTGTTCACAATGAAATTTATAATAGCGTAGCCAATATAGAGAACCTGTAATTTATCATTTTCATTGAGAAATTTACAGCTTATTCAAAACAAATTCACGGCTTTTTCGAATCCGAAATTCATCAACAATCGTCCATATCGGACACTATTAGCCAACCAAGATTCCCACTTGCCGATACTACACCAAATCTTGCCTCGAAATAGCCGAAAGCATACTTTAGGCGCGACCATGGACTTTTCTAAAATTCGTTTATAGAACATCTGCCTCTGCCATTTTTTTGATTTTGCTCTTGTAGCAGCACGTTCAAAGAAAAAACATTGAATCTGATGACACACGACTCCGCCCACATTTGAGGAAGTTAGACTCCTTCATGCAATTAGGTGCACTCAAAAGACGCGCTTTCATGCATGACGCACTAAACCCCGCCCAGTCACACACACTTTTGCGACTTTTGCGATCGGCCCTTACCCAGTCACCTTTGAGATGCATGGGCAAACTCCGCCCACGTCACGTGAGCCTCTCCCATGACCTTTAAGAAGGCTAGAGAATAGAACAAGGGAAAATAAACCCTAAATACAGCTTTGCATTTAAAGTTGAATGAATATGACCACGACCGAAAAGTGGGCGTCGGTTATTGGGGAGGACTGCAATAGCGTCTACTGTTGATAACACCATCCGGTGACAATCGGTTTGAACAGGTAAAGCATTGGTGGGATGTGTGAGGGTGGTGGTGTAGGTAGCGAACGACCGCCCCCCTCCGGAGAGGGTGTCAGTACGACGCCTCTCCCCTCCGGCACCTCGAGCGTCCTCGGTAGATAACCCCTCCCCTTCTACAGCACTCCTACGCTACAATCTCATCCATTTTCCAGTTGTTTTCACCCAAGAATATCCCGGGGTTAGGGGGGAGGGTGGGCGACGGGGGGGGGATATAGTGCTAACTATGGAAAACAGGAAAAATCAGCAAAAAGTCAACTTTTTCGAAAAACCAACATGAGAGATTTTCTCACCCCCCCCCCCTCCTAAAAGGCATACTACGACCCCTCCCTTTTCCCAATGACAAGTGCGAGCCGCCTGTCCCTCTTCAAAGAAAAGTAACGAACCCCGCTACTCGTGTTTTCACACAGAGATGTCCTCAACCCTGGGTTGAATGAGAATGAGAAGACGTGAATTCAAAATGAAAAGAGATCACATGGTTAAAAGTTCAAGTAGGTGGTCAGCACCTTCGAATTGCGTCAACGAGAGTAGGCGAGCTGAACGACGCCTTGGCACTCCACGTCGCGCACACGGCTAAACGCTTAACATACAACAAATCATACAAGCGTTTTCACTGCAGACGCTGGGACGGGTCAGGTAGCTGGGTTTGGCGCGGCGCCAGTAGCAGTCGTTGAAGCGGACAAGCAACAACAGTCGGTGGAGAACAAGCTGGCGCTGCGCCTGCCCTCCTGACTCGCCTCAGCTTCAGTTGCAAAAACGGTTATACGTTCATAACCGAGAGTTACGCGAAAGGCAGGAATGGGATGTGTGAGAGTAATGCAGTAGCGAGGAATAACTGTGGTGAGAGATGCCGCGCGGGGTTTCGGTTCGCCACCGTAATCCGGACGTCCTGATCGACACCCCTAGAAAAACAACACAGCTGAAATCACAGAAGTCCTACCTCAAACACCATAACGGTTGTACCATCTCTACCTTGGTTCCTGATCAAACGGACGGATTCAATCCACGAATCTGGTAAAAGAAATCCTGCAAGATCAGCATAATAGATGTCTCCCACACGGAACATAACATGTACTGTAGAACCTTCTGAAGGTATTTCTATAGTCAACTGGATGATGGAAAAGTAGTTCACTTGAGGATTATACATGGAAAATTCCACGAAAATAGCACGTGTGTTCTGTAAGGATGTTATTTAGTAAAGAGAATATGTAGTTCAGGCGTAAAGACACATTCCGCAGTGAGCGCATGGGCGGGGACTCACAATCTCTGCGCCTTCCCCACTGGTGTTTCGCCTCCGTTTCAGAAGCAGGGCATGGCGGGACGTTGGAGATCCCTGGCGAGAGGAGGAGGCCAGTTTCATGAGTCAAATGCGCTATAACCCATCCCCGCTTCGTCAAGTCGTCCCCCTCCAGCCACACCCACCCTCATCGCTCGACGGAAGGTTTTTTTCGTGGAAAAAGTAAAGAATTTCAGGAAGTTCCGGCAAGAACGCCGGAAAAATCGTGAGAAGCTGGGGAAGCAGGAT